GCATCAACCAAACCAGTTAATAGCATAGATAACTCTTCATACAATACATTATATACCTCCGAGTAGGACCTATCAAAGGGAAACTTTGGTTGTCTGTTTGGAGTTAAACTAAGTAACTCAGAATGTTCTTATATATAAATTCATATTTTTGGATCAGTATTTTTTCCAATAAGCCTAAAATAAATTTTTATATGTGCTTTTCTTAGACAAATTGCACATTACAAAAAACCCAGTCTATCCCAATCCAGCCAAGCCTATACAACACAAATTTGAAGTTATGTAAACTGAAACCATAATACTTCATGACACAACATAAATATGGAAAATATTTTATTTCACTAGGTGTGCTATTTTTTAGTGATAGGCAAAAGTAGACAGGATTTTGAAAGCAATTTGCTATAACATAAATGTTTTTAAGATATTTGTATTAGCTCATGTGTTCAGAAGTCATTCAATGTGATAATTATCTTGGAACACCTACAATCTACAGAAAGAAAGGGTTAAGAAATGGGAAAATGCTTGCATTCGATACATTTTAGTATAGGTGTAATTAATTGATATCTCTCTCAGATATCTAGAAGCCCAGTCCAGATCAAGTCCATAAGTCCATATTAACCCATCTGTCCAATACTAGTCCATACATTCCCCTTTAGACTCATGAAGCCATGCAGTGATGTCGAAAGGAGGAAGATCACAGGCTAGGGGGTGGAAACTCTTGTAGATCCACTGGCAGAGGGATCAGCTCAGTGCTGGTGTGGGTCTCCACTTAGCTCCTCCAGCTCCAGGGCTCTGACTCCGTCAGTGTGTCTCCATATGGTGTGTCCACAGGAATGTTAAGCAGATAGTGTGTCCCGCCTCCAGAGAAGAAGAGAGGAGTTCCCAGAATCCTCAGGAGAAGGCCATGCCCAGACAGAGGCCTCATTGGCTATGACCTGATTGACAGGCTAGACTCCACCACTTCATTCAAGTGGACAGGAGATTATATAACTGCCACAAACCACCCCGGACACTTTTGCATATATCTTTAGCCATATACAATATTAAACAAGACAATAGTAAAGTCATATCTGTACCCAAAAGGATAAAACTAAAACGCATACAATTCAATAGGTGTCAGCCTCACTTAAACGTAATATTCTGTAAGTGAACAAAACAAAAATATTCTATGCCTAACAATTCCCGGTAACACCTAGACAGACCATAATCCTATAATACTATGAATATATTCCCCCACCTATGAAAGTTTGTAAGCCAGTCACTTCATGCCTTTATCCTCCCAATTTTGAGTATCCTATTTCCATACTGCCCACTTATATCAACCCAGTGCTCTGAGGAGACAAATTCTTTTTATGTGAAGAATCTTCATTCCACTTGGAAACCTGTGAAGCCCACATCCATAAGTGAAGCCAAATCAGGACAGGCCATCCATAAAATCAGCAGCATTATGCACCAGTTCACAGGCTCAAAAAAACCTTTTCTTCAACTGGTAGGGTCAACTCAATGTGGGCTGCCTCACTTAGCCTCACCAGGGTGCCCATTGACTGCCTTGCCTTTAGACCATGGGGTCCATCACAAATTCTCAACAACCATAGTTAACTCATGCAAAGTCATGATCTTCAAACCAGTCAACCTGTGTTCATCTTCTCTTCTAGTCCCTGTGTACCAGGTCCAGGGTGTCAGTGACCAGACACAATCAGGAGCCTTATTGACGTAGCAGTTAATGGCCTGAAAGGTTGGTAGTTCAAACAAACCCAACTGGATTTGGGGTGGGGGTGGGGGTTCCTGGTGATCTGCTCTAGTGAAGACAGGAGCCTTGTAATTCTTCCCAGGTGGTACTATTATCTAGAGTCACTAGAGCAAATAAGAAGGTAACTTGATAGCAACTAACAACAAAAATAACAATTTTGCTCAGTTCCTCGTGTTGCTTACATGCCATTTTCACCTGGGAAGACAGTATAATATTCACGACTACAGACCAATGTATTTTCAGGAATTATCTCTTGAAAAAAGAGCTAGTGTGAAGCTAGTACTTCCATATAGAATTATGCATTTATTAAATAAGAATTATGCATTTATTAAATAAAAGCTACTACTTCTATAATTAAAAATCAACACAACAATTCTCTTGGGTTTTTGTTAGGATTGAATGAACTAAATCATATACAATATTAAAGTACCAGTAACATAGGGATAACAATGTGGAATTAAATGTGGAGTTCAGAGGCTACCTGGTAGTTCTTTAGTTACTCAGAATGTTTATGTGTAGATCTAGCCTTGGTCAAGAGAGAGTCACACTTGTTTGAGAAAGAATAAGAAAATATGAACATTTAATGCTGCAATTAAATTCTTTCGAGTCACCACCTGGAAATGAAACTACAGCCCTGAGCAAATATTATCAATTCTCATATCATCTGGAGTGTCTTTTATCTCTCATTCCTGTGATCATCTATTATGAGAGGCAAAGTAATTGAAGGGATTCACTTGAGCTCAAATAGATACAGTAGAACCCTTTTAGGAAGAGTTCATTCCTAAGAAATGGTCCCTTATGGCACAGGAAATGTTTATATCACTGAAAGATGTAGAGGGTAGTATTATGAGGGATGTGGGGAAAGTCAAATATTTAAGTGGAAAGCCATGACTTAATTTTCTTAAGGAATTGGTACTTTGAGAGGAAACAGTATAAAGTGAGAGTCAAATGGGGGTGAAAGGTGATTCTGAATATCAATTGTATCTTGCCTCATGGATGTTCATTTGTAATCAAATATGTTCCTGGGTCTCTTCAAATAAATGTTTATTGAGCAAATTGGATACACAAGGAATCAGTGAAGTTTAAAAATGGGATTTTAGATTATTGGAACATTTTTTCCCTAAACAGTCAGCTTTTCCCTGTATCTCCTCAAAAGTTGTTCCTTCCTCTCTCAGTCACGTACGCTAAAGTGGTTGCCTTCCTTGCTTAGGGCCAGTTCAGAGGCTGCCTGTTTGTTGGGATAAGGTCAGACCTGAGTCCAATTCAAAGTAACAGAAATATCCATCACGATGGTTTAACTCCTCCTCCATCTCTGCAGTCCTAAACTGCATAGGTGGGATGCTTTCAAACCATTAGATTCCCTTCCCTCGCTGTACACGTGGTAATGAGTTAAATTAAATAAGAATAGAATTATTTGAGAAGTGTAAAAGGATGTCAGACTCACATAAAGAGAGAGAGAAACTCTTGGCACCCCCTCTACTCTTAGTTTATCAAAAGGCAACAGCACAATATCTGATTTCATTAAAGTATTCTATTTATAAAAGAGGCTGTTGAGTTATTTTCTAGGCCCAAGGAAAAAGAAGTCTCTAGAACCCCCTTTGTCTTCTATTTTCCAAACTCCAGTCCTTCTTTAAAATTCTTCACTCCAAGGCCCTTTTATAATGCACAATCCTTGAACTTGATCCTTTACAAATCACTGGCAACGTTGTAGGAGGGGTCGCAATTTATGTAATCCTTAACTAAAAGGGGAATGGATGTAACCTTAACAGGCTTTCTTCCCCTGAAGAACAGACAACAGCAGTTTGTAAAAGGCCTTGGGAAGTCCAAACCATAAAATCCTCAGCAAAAATTTTAGAACGTATTGATGATGGGCCGAGGCTGATAAGAAAACTTAGCAAAATCAGTTCTCAGAGAATCAGCCTTTTCTTGCGTCACCCGCACCCCCTTATCCCAGCCCCGAAGCTCAAAGAATTGCTTTTAAAGAGCTCCCACCAGTAAGTTTGACAAACCCGGCCTTCCTCACACTGGGAAACGCGTGCGTGCGGTGCGGCTTCAGCATCAGTGACCCAGCTTGCGCCCCAAGAGCAGCCTCCCGCATCCGTTCACACCTAGCCCCGGAGACCCGGGGTTTCTATCTGGTCCTCGGCCGATGCAACTAGTTATTTACTTGTACGCATTTAACATTTCTCCGAATTGATGTGGAAACTTTGTGTGGGGGGGGGGGTGTATGAGAGAAAGAGAGAGAGAGAGATCGTGTGCGCGCCCCCGCGCTTGCTTTTCTAAAAGGACTCACGAATCCTCCTGGGATCTCTTTCCCTGGCTCCCTCCCTCCTTTTCCGGTTCTCAGTGAAAGCTTTCTGGTCTGGAATCAAAGGCGTAAGCCTGCATGATGTTTTAAGTAATATTCAATATTGTAAGAGAAACCTAACTCTTTGACCTAATTGATTTAATATGTGAGGTTTAAAAAGAGTATGCGCCCAAATTGCACACACTCACACACACAAATCCTACTCAGTTATAGGAAACCTATATGATATGAACATATATATTTTAAATGGCCACTTCCAACAAGCAAGAAAGACATCAAAGCAGCATAAAACACTGTACTGCAGAGGGGGAAGAAATGCATTTAAGTCGCTGATGAAAATGGCGTGCAGTATAATTACCTCAAATTGCTGTTCGCTTGACACCCTGACACTAATTTTATTCAAGCCGTCGGGAAATACATGTTTTAAAAGCACTCGTTTCAGAACGCAGAAGCCTAGTGGGGGGGGGGCTGTGAAGTCCTTAGAGGCAGGAAGGGGTAAAGTTTCCAGCACGCAAAACGAATGAAATAATCCATTGACAATAAGCGTCTACGTAGATCGGCAGCCTTTCATGTCTACATTTTTAACGCTTGCCCTGTACGTGGCTGAATTTTTTCCTCGTCTTC